TGTAGGGTTTGGGGATTAGGATTTAGAGTTTAGTTTTTTTTTTCTCGAGCTGTAGGCCTGAAGTTAGGGCTTTCATGTTCAGGGCTTTAGCGTTTTAGGCCTTTAGGGCTAGAGGGCTTGAGGTTTTGAGGGTTCAGGGTTTAGAGGTTCGGGAATGCAGCTCAGTTTTCCGGACTAGTCTGTTCAGAATCGTTTTGATGGGATGTGCCCGTCTGCTGTCTCATACAGAGTTCGCATATTCATCCCATGTAGTGTTATCCGAACATTTGTGCTTTGTTGTCGGTGTTTGTTTCGCTCGGGTTCTTGCATTACATCAGCAATATACAAGCCCGAGGAATTCGTCATAATCATAATTGCTATTCCTGGGAATTCTTCAAACAACGTATAACTATACTATAATTGAGCCCCGAACCCGCCCAGTATGTAGGCCCGTACAGTTTACAGCCAAATCTTTTGTAGTACCCTTTAACAGGAACTCTGTTCTGATTCGCAAGGCCCCTATACTAAACTAAACCTTACGGTACCCTGCAAGGAGCCCCTATAGTGCCCCTTGAGAAGGAACCCTCCTAGTACCCTCTAGAGAAGCCCTATTCTAACTATGAAGGTCTCCATTTGGGGCCTGGGGCAAGGTAGGGTCCGAAAATTCAAGCTGAGAGGCCCGTGCACCGAGACGATGTACATCAGAACAAAGAAGAGAAGAATACTTTGGGTTTGATGGGTGTTGAGATGGTTTTTAGGGTTGTTGGGTTTAGGGTTTCTGGTTGTTGGGCTTAGGGTTTAGCGTTCTAGGATTTAGGGTTTAGTGCTGTTGGGCCTAGGGTTTAAGGTTTTTAGATGGCTTTCCGGGTTTAGGGTATACGGTCTCGCGTTGAGGGGTTTAAAGTGCAGGGTGGAGGGCTTTGCTATTGAAGCAATGTGATTACTAAACCCTAAACCCTAAACCGTAAACCCTACTGCGGCCGTTCAGGACAAGGTCTCGGGTTTTGCTATCACCCGAGCTTTGGTGGAACGCGACTCGCTGTTCACCTGTTTGGAGTTAATATGGCGCGGCCTTAAGAATTATGTATATTAATCTGGGGGCTCCTTACTATAAATATAGTATATTATACACCCAAAACCCTATTGAAATTATTGAGGCCCCTATATTAAGCCTTTGAGCCATTGAGGCCTGTTTGCGTGCAGGGCTCGCTAGAACGGTTAGTGGCTGACTAGCCTAGGACCTAAAACTCGTTGCAGCCAGGCCCCACAAGCTGCTCTTTTCCCAAGCTCAACACAAGCAGCCTAAGCCCCAAACAGCAAGAACGGTCCAACATCCAAACCTTGAAAGCCCTCCCATCCCAATCCCCCGACGTCGCAGCGTGCTATGGTTGTAGCCCCGAGAACCCTAAACCCTAAGCCCTAAACCCCTAAACCCTAAACACCAGGTATGGCTCGAACTACACAGGCTGGCCGTGGGCCTTCGCATGAACAAACCTCTAGGACTCTAGGGTTTGGGGTTCAGGGCCTTGCAACAAAAAATCTGGGCTTGGTCCGTTTTGTGTCTATGTCGCTGTAGCTTTTGGGATGTTTGTTTGAGCTGCCACACACCCCTAAAAGACCCTAGCGACTTTAAGCTGTGCGGCGTAGAGTGGAGGGTCTGTCCGGGTAGTTTGCGAATTTAGGCTCGCTTTGTGGATGCCGCAAACTGCACGTTGCTACTACAACAAGTACTCTAAACCCTAAACCCCCAAACCCTAAACCCTCAACACCTAAACCCTGAACCCTAAACCCTAAACCCCTAAACCCCAAACGCTAAACCCTAAACCCCAAACCCTATTACAACTAGCGCTCCAACAGTCTGAACGATGGTAATAACCCAAAGGCTCCATGTACCTTTATAGTAGATACTTAGGCCTTCAAGGGGTCCCTATATAGGTACTTTAAGGCTTAAGTATCTACTATATGGGTACATGGACCCTCAGGGTACTAGATTTCCCCCACCGTCCCGGCGCGGCCATCGGGCTGCAGCCAGGAGTGCCAGAGACATGCAGTAGATTCAGGGTTTAGGGTTTAGGGTTTGGGGTTTGGGGTTTAGGGTTTAGGGGTTGGGGTTTAGGGGTTGGGGTTTAGGGATCGAACTGTCCTATTGCACAGACAGAAAAGATGTACAGTGAGGTCATAGGAAAATGCAGTGTGATTTATACTTCATCGGAAACCGCTGAAAGTCAGCGATTCGAGCCCGATTCCTTGAGTGCTGCTGGAGAAACTTTATGCAGACGATTTTGCACAACCTACGTAACCCCACCCCTGCCACGGCAAATCTTCAAGCGGGTTGATACCTTGCTTCGAATTGCAGGCTTGCAGGCTTGAGGGTTTCGGCCACAGGCCATGCTATAGCCTGTCAGATGCTGTTTTTTCGGTTCGTGCTGGTTGAATGCTCGTAGCCGTATCTACTATCGCATGTGTTTCGTATCGAGGGCCGGGCATTGGGCACCTGTCCTCTTGATAAATTCCTCGCAGTTCTTGCTTTGGGCGGTGAGGCAGGCGCTGGGTTCTTGCAATTTATAACGCATAGTCTGAAATGTCATAAAATACATCATATAACAGTTTAATGAAGCAAACTAAACCCTAAACCCTAAACCGTGACCCCAACTTTAAAAAACCTAAACACTAAAGTATGATACGTTATGGTGTTCTTTCGTTTCAGGTTTCCTGTCCCCTTTGACTGCTAGAGGCGGTCGACTCGTAGGGGCAGACGCGACCAGAGTCCAATTTGTGAGGCAAGGGTTTACTGTATGATCTGTCGTTATAATATAGGGTTTAGAGTTTAGGGTTTAGGGGTTAAGGTTTAGGGGTTAGGGTTTAGGAAATGCAGACAGTACATTCTGGTTCTTATATTATGCTATGTTACACTGTACTGCATTACATTATACCATACTGTATGTCCTACCATGCTACACTTCATTTCCTGAAGGCTTCATGTTGGACGCCCGAGGTATAGTAGCTCTTTTCTTGAAGACTTCTTTCCCACCTCGTTACAAGCTCTTTCATTCTCTCGGCTCGCTTTCAACTGCACTGCCCTAAACCCTAAACCCTAAACCCTAAACCCTAAACCCTATACCCTATAAACCCTAAACCCTAAACGCTAAACCCTATAAACCCTAAACCCTGAACCGCTCCATGCGAGCAGGCGTGCAGCGGTACAGCAAGATGGGCAACCTGTGCTACAATTGGGGTGCCCGGCTCAGCGCGGCCCTAGGCTCCATTGTAGTTCCTTTTTGTGGTTTATGTTTAGGATCCTAAACCCTAAACCCTAAACCCCAAAAAGGAACTACAACGGAGTTCGACGCAGCTCCGGCCCGGTGTTGGGCTGTACGGTGCAAGGTCCCGCGTGCAAAGGTGTTGCAGAGTTCTAGGGTTTAGGTTAGGGTTTAGGGTTGGGGTGGTGGTGGTGGTGGTGGTGGTGGTGGTGGTGGTGGTGGTGGTGGTGGTGGTGGTGGTTCGAGACCTTCTGAAACTGTGCGTACTGTCCAAGACTGTTTGCTTCGGAGTAAATTTGTATGGATCCCAGACTCGACTGGATGCCAGAAGCATGAACATGTTTAGTGGCTCGAAAGGTCATCTTTGGCGTTTAGGTCCCACACAAAGCCATGTCGTTTCGATTCTTTCTACTGGCGTGGTTGACTGTCCTTCGTCGGTGCAGTGCACAGGGCGGCTTCTCGGGTGTGTGGCACTTGGTCGATGCCCTCTCCGTCGTGTGCCCAGCCGGCAAAGGATCGGCAACGGTGACGATTGAGAAGCCAACAACTTCCGAGTATGAGCCACACATTTTCACCATCTTCCGTACGGCAAAAAGCTCTGTAAGCCTGAGCTTCATTGCCAAGGATGCGACTGGCAAGGTGGTGACCGACCAGTCAAACGGAATCACCTTGCATGCGGGTACATACCGGCGGCTGTCTGGCTTGGGGTCAGAAGACACCAATGTTTCGGCCAGAGAGCTCTGGGGCATGCGGCGGCGCATGTCCTCTGGTTCCCGTCGTCGGACCGGAAGCGGTGGTGGAGGTGGTATCAACCTAAACCCCACCACCTGGTTCTCCCCACGGCGCCGGATCTCAACGCCTACATACCCCGCGGCATCCACCGGATTCGGCGCCCCACGCCGTCGCAGTGCGGCAGTGCCTGCAGCCGCCGGTGCTGGTGCTGCAGGCGCCGCAGGCGCTTATGGAAGCCCACGCCGACGAGGCACCATGGCTCCAGCGCCAGGCGCCGCCGGAGGCTACGGATTGAGTCCTCGGCGTCGAAGCTCTGTTAGCGCCGCGACTGGCTTCGGGTACAGCAGCGTCCGGAGGCGCCGTACTTACATCGCTGGGGGTAGCTCCAGCTACAGCAGCTTGATTGCATTCGGAATCTGTCGGCGCCAGGCACCTCGGGTAGTTTGGGTCCAGGGCTTAGGGTTTGAGTTCTATGATCTATGGTAGCTGACCGATGTCTAGAGTCCCGTAGCCGAGCTCAAACCCAAAACTCATGGCGTTGAGCTGCTTCTTAGCCGCTACACTTTTACTGCCCTCCTTCGTGGAGAGTTCAACCCTGAAACCGTATCCTGGGTTCTTGTTACTGTTAAGGGATTTAATTTAAGCTACCACAATAGTAAGGTAACCATGTTATTTACCATAGATCCCTAGTATGGTAACTGAAGTTATAAATTAAATC